TTATATAGATGTTTTTTTTTTTGCTAGAAACAAAAAATAATAATGAGATGGCCTAAGAATATTTGTTATAGTCTGTTGACCAGGCGATCCCTTGGAAATTCAATATGGATTTCAGATAATATAGTTCTAAAATAAAAATTCTTTCTTAAACCATAGGAGAATAAAATAATGAATATTAAGTCCCTCGGTATATTTTAATTTTGCCAGTTAAAGACAATCTATCTTTTATTTATAAAAATATGTTTTTAAATCCATACGGAAAATGTATTGATACAATTTCAACAACTGATCAGAGTTTCATTGTGATCCTGCGAAGACTGTTATACGATTATTTATTATATTTTCTCATTAAGTGTTTGCTTTTTTTAGCAGAAAGTTGAAACTCGAAAGCCTACTAATTATGCAAGTAATGCTGTTATTCTACTCACGAGTAGAAACCACACCGTTTTATCTACTCGCGAATCTCACAACTAACACGGCCACTGCAGTCTACGAAATTGTTTTATAAACTACCTAGTGAACATTGATAACAGTGATAATTTATTTAATATTTTATTGTAGTTGAATAAGCCGAAGGATATTGTCGATTGTACAAACAAGATAAAAAAAACATTGTGTGTCAATATGAAGATACATTTCTAAGATGAAGATATATTTTCTTTACCGAGCTCTATTGACGCGTGTATAATACTGTTCAAGTTTTTAATCTATAGATCTCCACGTACCCTCGGGACGACCTATTCTCTTTCTCTCTCTCTTTCTTCTCATCATCGTTTGCAACACCTGCACTCTGTTTCTACACTTTGGGTTTTAAAAAAAGCGTTGCACCGCACGTGTCACTTGCAACGCCTTCGCGCATTTTTCGATTTTACTAAGACGTCTATGTGTGTGTGTGTATACATATGCAATTACCATGTCAAATAATGTACATTCTGTTCTATTTCGATGATCGGGATCCAAAGCGGTCGACGCTGAAAGTTATTTGATTTTTCAACCGTGACGCGTCGGCTCGGTGTTATTTTTTAACGTGTAACCAAAATATTAACAAGGCGGCACCTTCGTGGGCGACCTTCCACGACCGAAAAATATCGAAAAATGTTCATAAAACGTGGGTGAAATCGACCCGTCGTTCATTGTTTGGGAAGTGGGAACCGCCATCGTCGTGAAAGCCCAAAGGAGTCATATCTGCACCATACAATTTTATTATTGTTACAAGACGGTCCTACACGGAATAATTACGGCCCGAAGGTTCGACAGCGTATTTGGTATTGTCAAAGTTTGTACAGACAATAAAACAATGTACGAATCCAATTTATTCCATACCGACGTCTCAGCATCATTGTAAACGGATCGAGTCGGCCGGGCGTAAGACCATTCGAGTGTTCTATCATATTACAAAGCATCGAGGTCTGTATCGTTTTCAAAAAACACTACTTAGCCGGTGTAGAACTACTTGCATCACACTTTGATGACGTACAAAGTTAAGCTCGTTGCAGTAGCGCAGATTTATTAAAAAACAGTACTGATTTATGATGCATTTTTTAGTTTATTTAGTATAATTTACAACGATCGCGGGATGCCCTGTGCACGGACAATCCTCTGCTGCATACGTTTTCTATTTAACCTACCTAACGCGGATAAAGGGTGAGATTTTCCCGTGACTAGGAGAAACTTGGTTCTCTCGCGGGCACACGGAATGATCGACGAAGTCGTTAATTATTGTTTACCGTGCAGAATGTAGGCACAACAGCCGCACAACGAATTGAGAGTGAAGTCGATTATAATGATGATGGTGGTAGGTAATGATGATAAATGATAATGCTAATAGTGCTAATAACGAAACGAGGTTAATTTCCACGGTACCCATTCCTCGTTGTATTATAATCAAAGTGAACCCGTGTAGAATCATCGCGCATTTTCGGCAAACCGATTGTCCGTTGTTCTTAGCTGGGTAGTTATAAGAATGAAGGGGCCTATGTATAAGCGTACCTAGTGTTTGCGGATTCGTTCACACGTCCAATGTGTCTACTTGAGTATCAAAGCACAAATGAATCTCGCGCCCAGTTCCATCTTTACCCTAAAGCTGCGCACACACTAGTAATTTAGTCGAGTAGTAAGTGATTTACTAACTACTAAACGTTTTAATAGCTGAAAAAGAGTTCAGACAGATTTTAGTTTATTACTGTTTTAGTACATTAAGCAGTAGTTGTGCTGTACTGTGATACTGGATTCATGTGTTGTAATATGAAAAGTTTCGAACGAAAAAACAAATTAAATAAAAAGCAATACAACTTATTGCAACTGCTACTTTAGAAGAGGTAGAAGAGCTTTTAAAAGACGACCTTAATGAAAAAGCAAAGTGAATATATTACAGGAAATGGATCCAGAGAAGGGATTCATTAGGAGCTACAAATGGTCTTATTAGATAACTGAAACTTGAAGACCACAAAGAATGTTTCGCAACGCTGAGAAAAAACACTTGACTAAAGAAACGCGTTCGGACCTATTTTTGTGGCCTATTTAGTTTTAGTCAGAATATTGGGGGGGGGGGGGGGTTAGGGCGCTATTCGACCAGAAAAATAGAACAAAATGGATTTACTAAACTAAAGTACTTTCCTAAGCTACTCGACTAAATTGGTCTGTTCATACACAAACTCTGTGTGCGCAGGAGTCCCTACATAGCCTAAGACGGCCCTGCTCGCATCCCTCCAGAAACAGGTCTAGGCTTGGAAACAGATTATTGCCAGGGAGTTGCTATTTTCCTGTTAGTTGCTTATACGAATGTCCTCTTCTAAAACTGACTGCTATCTGACCAACTAATGGCTCGTGTATTTGTTTGCGGGAACGACGTGAAGCGTTTCATAACGCCTTCGAATAATACGGAGTTAAACGGCGCGTGGAGGTGTAAGTATGCGCCAAAATAATGTACATAATATTATTTATCGTATTTTCATTTTGTGCGTTGGGCCGATGATATTATTAAGTGTTCCGAACCTTTCGTTTTTCTCCTGTCATGGGAACGGCTATTGAATAAAAATATAAAAAATAATAACTTAAACCGGTACGACCAGAATTTGTAATGTATGTATTTTATTTCATTGCATCTTCTATTACAATAAATCATAAGTCACCGGCGGCGAGAAACGAACGGTATTTGCTGCGCCTAAAGTGCAATATGGAGTTTGGCCTATATCGTGCTGTGTATAATATTTCTGTAATTTTTTTTTTTTTTTTTGGCGGTTTACAAGCGAAATATTGGTATACAAAATCCGTGATAGATTTCACGCAATCCTACAAACCTGATTAGTATTTATTTTTTTTTACGACCGTATTGATTTAAACGTTTTGCGGTTAGAGCCGCCGTGTTGTATGTTACGTTTGCGGTTTACGATCAATTGGAGCACAAAACAAACGAGTTGTTATATTTTAATTTTTTTGTCTTATTGCCAGCGCTGCTGATGTTTTTTTGTGCTACCATCGAAATCCTAAACGGATAACGACATCATAAAAATAAAAAAAAACTACATAATATTACACTATTTCGCACACGTGCAAACCATTCGAATCGGTCAATTCGTTGTAACGTTATTGGCCAAATTGGCCGATGGTACCCGTCGTTTAAAGGCCGAAGATATTATGTTCAGTGTTAACTCGACCACAGACGTTATAATAAGCGTGATAATATACAACTATTGTGTCTGGGGTAAAACATATTATAATATAGTTGACTACAGACATTTTCAAAAAGCGCGTTCCGTTTGGTAAGCCATAATTGGACATAGGACGACGACCGACGCTAATTCTCATACTTGAGATTAATATTATTTGGTATGCTCTTATTGCGCGTGCATGGGATATTATTATAACTGGTGTTTTCGGCGTTTAATATAGTTGCAAGTTTGTGAATCGCCACAGGCACGTCGTTAACCGTTTAAGCAATCGCCCAGTGTCTTGTACAGTTGTAGCTCGAGGCGCTATTTTTTGTTCAAAGAATTTAATACTCTTCACAAACATTATTTATAATATTTATATTTTACAAAATGATTTTAAACCAGGTGCGTTCCAAGAAAAGGTAGGTAAGAGTCATGGCACTACTTGGCTTTATTTCTGCCTTTCTTACTGCCTAAAAATTACAATCGACAGTTTCAATACTAAATATAAAAAATTGTTTCTATGGAAAAATTGCAAAGATGCTCTGGATTAGAGTTCTTACTCTCACATTCTCTTAAAATTTCCATACACAAGTCATTTTCGACATGGTAATTTAAACTCTGAAAAAAATAGCATGTGCTCTGTAGCGATAACGTTTATCTACACAAGCAGGTACACTATTTTCTAAAGGCTGTAAATTCGTTCGAAAAATAGAAGGCTATTTTCACGTGCAGTTCTTACATCGTTCATAGCAACTAACATGGTAAAATTATGACGTTGATCTACCGTGGTAAATTTCGATTAACAGTTTATGCACCATGTCAACTGAACACTAGGAAAACAATAAATACTTTTTGACGTTTTATTAACACTACATCGATAGCTTCACACTAGTGACAAAATATGCAAAATTAACATAATTCATACAAGAACGAAATACATCTTTTATCACTACAATTCTGGAGTTTTTAACGCTTTCAAATGGTTTGATTAATTCCACATATTTTATACCAATTATAATGATTCACTTACCACACCTTATTATCATTTTATTTGTAAACTCGACTTTCGATGAAAACTTAAAAAAGGTGCAATAAGAAAGAAATCTAGACAAAATAAAAACCAAGTGATTTCGACCACTACTGTTAATATAAACTATATCCATAAATATTCTAACTGCTAGTAAATTAGAATAGAACTTACAAGTATGAACTAAAACGTTACCCAAATTTAAATGGTTAACGAAATCGTTTTAGTTTTGTTGCCTGTTTTTTTTTTTTGTAACGTTTTCAATGTCTGTTTCTAAGTTAAATCATACGTTTTATATAAGTATTTCTATGCTAACTTACCAATACGGGTATGTGGTCGACGAAATAGCACAAGAACAAAATAGCCACCACATAGCCTATGCGGACGTCCTGAACCAGAGACACCCGCTTGGCCAGACACGTACGACTGTTTGTAGAAGAAGCGGACACGGACGTTGTGGACGGCAAATACCGGGAACCGTACCGGTAAGGCGGCAGGCCCATTGTAGACGTTGCGTAACTGTCGAGCGTACCGGTGGCGGCGATGGCGTTGGTGTCGATGAGCCGCTTAGACTCGTCCAGTCGGCGGAGCGTGTCGTCCTGATGGACGAGGTGAAACTGATGATGAGGGTCTTGGTGCATCAGCGCCCTGGGGCCGCCGTTCAGAAACGTAAGAGGAGCACCGTTGGCAGGAGACGTCGGTAAGCGCAAGAGGTCGTGGACTAGCGCGCAATCGCTCCGGTAAGGCGCTCGGTCACTACAGTCGCTGACGCTGTGCCGAATACCGCCGCGACTGCAGCTTGACACGGTCGACAAGTCGGACATGCACGATGACAGGTCGGACGAAGAGCTGACCAGCAACGGATTAGGAGGCCCTTTTTTGCGGCCAGCGGCACAGCCGAACGCTGCGGACGCGAAGGCCACGACGGCAAGGGCCGCGTGAAGCACCAGTGAAAAGACGGCGTACCGCCTGTCCGCGGGCGGAGCACACGGATCGGACTGCGCGATCAGCGAGGCGGCTCCCACGCACGCGCTCACTACCGACAGGCTGGCCAAATGGTAGAGTAACAGCGGTCGGCCGCCGGCGGTGACGGTGCTCTTCTTGCGTCTTAGCCCGGCCATTAACGCCAACGACGCCAGCGTGCCGGCCTGCATGGTGTGCGCGGCCGTCCACATCCATTGGACCGCGCTGCACAACGCTGGTTCATCCGGTCTGAACAGCGACAGCGCAGATCCGGCGGTCGAAGCTATCTGTTTGGCGATTGCCTCACCGAGCAACGCGATTAACAGCGGGTCCGACGGTCTCCACTGGCCGCGGCCAAACCACAGCACCAGAATAGCCCAGCACAGCCATACTATCGACAGAGGACCGCCAATTCCCGTCGTTAACCAAACCAATGCTTCCGAATGCATCATTCATTTTTCTGTAAACAAATATTCATATATATATTTATACGTACATATTAATACAAGCAGAAAATTTAAGTATTTGAGATCAGTTAAATAAAAAAATCGACCATTATCGTTATAACTAATACAATTTGACCATGTGGTAAGCAGAATTAAGGGTGGTTGGATGAGGTTGAAAGAGGTTGAAAGAGGAAACAGAGTTGCTGTGTGTCACCCACTTCCTCTTCGGTTTTGATCTAGCTTAACCAAACCATCTCAATTGTATTTTCCATAGTATGTAGAAAATGAAAACTTAAAGGTTAATTTGCAAAAAAAAAAAGTACTGAATGTTAAATTGGCTCTTTTAGACCATTGGGTGTACGGAAAATGTTCGTAAACGTTAATTTTCCAACGCCTGACATAGGACACTACTTTGTGCACCCATTGTACCAAAAAGATACCGTCAATTGTTCCTTAATAGATAAACTTAACTAATTTGTATTATTTCTAACATATTTAGTATTAAGTTTATCTACTTCGTTTTTTTTTATCGGAACTAAAAATAAAATCGCATTACTTTTAGCAATCTGACAACGGTTGTAAAATACTTTTACTGGACTTATTTTTCAACACACGCATCTACTCGTATACGGTTGTGTTATTCACTTTCCGTGTAGTATAAAAACAGACTTAACGGTACTCCGTGGTCGCAAACGACTTGCGTCGTAGTCCGGCGTCCTTATACCAACATATATTGTGTATAATATGGGTAGGTGTTAAGAATAGTACTATGGTTGCCATTAAGCGAGTCTTCTTCGCCCGAGGCAAATGATCTTTTGTACGGCCCAAGTTCCTAGAAACGTTCGCCTGCGCGTATAATTATAATAAAATATGTATATTATTATACATTTAGGCACATGTTTAAAGCGTGGGAGGTTTACGAATGTAAATTATACGCTATTAGCGCGCGCCAATGTTTTCTTTTCGTTATAACGACATTGACATTGCTTATGAAAAAATAATAACAATAATAAACATTCCACCAGAGGTAGTATCTACGTGTATGTATACAGTCGACCATGATCTCTGCAAACGGTTTCGAACAGTTACAGACGAATTCGGTAAGCCCGCAAGAGATTGACCTCAGCGCACGATTCCTACTTTGACCATATGGCGGTTAGCTTTGCAGTAAGTTTGCTCTCTCGGTCGACAAATGTGTAAAACGCGCCTGTAAAACTTCCTCTTCTTACCTACGGAAACGATTTTTGCCTTTTTTCGAGATGATAGGCTAACACGAACATAATCAAAAGAAAAAAAAACAAAAAGCAGACTTTAGTTTTGTAGCTACGGGCCCAACTTGGTGATAACTTAAAAATAAAATTCGACATAAATGGTTTATTATTTATTTAAGTTAAAATGCTGGCACTGTAAAAATCAAAACCATATAACGTGTAAAAAAAATGTGATAACTGTGTAGTGTATAGTCCTGTGTTGACACATGTCACTTATCAATGTAAATATAAATAAATAGATAAATAGAAAACGAACAGACTAATACGGTCGCACGAAATACATTACGAGGAGATGAGTCAATGAAGATACTCAGTTGGCATTAAACAGAAAACCGTGTATTCGTTATGACAATCCAGTCATTTATTTACATAGCGATACATTTTTAACTTATCTAAAATGTAAATAGTAGTAGGTCAATTAAATTTTTAAAAATGTCGGAAGTCTTTGAATATTGACTAATGGCGATTGTCTGATAATAATTTTTCCATCACAATGGCTTATGGTTAAATAGCTTGTATTCTTATCGATTATTATATTCAATCAAAGGTTGGCGATCGAATACAATTTTACTCGACTGACGGATAACCGATATTATAATGATATTTTTAAATTTGCAACATCACCAAGGCACTCAACTCTCCAGAGTTATGGCCAGTAAATAAAACAACAAACCGACTGCTAGAAGTCCGTCTCGTGTGTTGCAATTTGACGGTTAACAAAATTAAACTCCGTCGGTCTGAATGGGTATTATTTTCTCCTAACCGTGTATAATTGTTGGCGACGGGTATATTATACTTGTTTTGCTATAGGTACATTGTGTACTATAGTGGTGCTCTCTCTTCACGTGCAGCACACGCAATTTTCTCCTCCGCGCGCATATAATCTTCGCTATATTATACATAACCGGCCCATACGGTTTTTCATTTATATATTATATCTTTTTTTTTTTGTTTTCGCCATCAATCAACCGGTTGGCTATAAACCACGTCGACGCGAAGGAAAACTCTTCGTGTCTATTTACTTCCAGATCGACAGTGTAGCATAATAATATACACACACAATAGCAATACAGGCCACAACAGCCACGAGGTATTACAATAATATATTATTGTAATTTAGTAAACCTATAGCGTTTGCCAAACAACTAAACTGTCCCGATCGTGTCTATACGATAACATTATGTGTCTTATGACGTTACCAGCTGTTACCCGTTGGACAGCGTTCACATGCGCGTCACATCACTTACATCAACCTATCCTCGTTTTAAAGGGGCTACGCCCAAAGTAAACGTGCCTTGTGATAAACCAATGTAAATCCATAAGGTATGTAAAAAGTTAGAGCTCAGAAATATATATTTCCTAAACGTTATTTGTGTGTTAAAAGAAGTAAAAGAATCTAAAGAAAGGTCTAAAATAATAATAAATATAATAACAAAAAAAAAGTAAACGTTTTCAATACGTTCAAAACGTTTAACAACTATTAAATATACAAGGAATTACTCATAAAGATAACATTATAAAATCAAATAAAAAGAATAAAAAAATAAATAACTACTCAGTTTTGCATAGAGGCAAACAAGTTAGACAAGTTCTTCTGTATTAATGAGCGAGTACTCTATGTTATTTCTACTTCTTTGTATAAAAAAACTACTGATATCCCAATAAAAATACTTCGTTAACTCAGTGTTAATGGTCGCTATGTAAAAAAAGAAGAAGTGTTTCAACATAAGACTTAAAATGCGTGATATAATATAGGAAATAAGTAAATAAAGTAATGTATGTACATATTATACCAGTCATGAAAAAATCGAATTTTAGTTTAGTCGAAAGTTTGTTTTTCTACTATATTCCTAATACAACAAGTACTATATTTACTAATGTAGGAAAACAGACTTAGATTTCCGGCCAAGTGAACTAAATTTCAATTTTTCAATGACTAGTTTATATTTCAATTGTTGACAGCGATGTATACATTGTTATACAATAAGGCAGTACAACATAAAATGTTTTGCAAATTTTGCTAGTTGGTTCTTCTACGCCGTGGATGAACGTCCATGCCGGGTGTTTAAACTATTGGTCAACCCAATACCTAATAGTGGTTTTGGCTAAAACAAGATCCAGATTGTCACCTGTCACTAGAGTTCTAATTTTACATCATAAAGTCGTTAATATTTGTTACGGTAAGTTATTCCTGTGGTGTTTTCCAATCGGGTTATGCTTCGATTATATCAGAGGTTGAAATAAATATTCCAAACAAAACTTTTCGACAGCTACTTCTGTTTCAACACCATAAGAGAACAACGCGCGGTCTTCTCGTCGACTACACCGAGGACACCGCCGGCACAAAGCCCATACAAATTTTTCCGAACAATGAAATACAACACCGTGTTATTAATTATGTATAATATCATAACACAGTGTGTGCAGTAAGTGTGTACGCGAGCGAGCGCAGAGGATTTCACGGCACACGTTTTCTAAATCGCACGGCCTCGCTCTCCCTGAAAATCTAATGCTATACTTAGGTACTAGGTAATTCGTAGTTGTAAATCGGCCGACCCGTAGAACAAAAGCGACATTAGAAAACGAAAAAAATTGTCATTAACGGCTGTGGTATTCCCACGGACGGACGAATCTAATTGAACTGAATAGAAAAAAACAAAAAAAAAACTAATTTTTATTATGTCTGTTATTATTACAATATATAAATGTCTCCGGGCGAGGACGACGTTCGGACAACATAATATAACACTAATATCGGCGTAATTACTATTATTGTTGTTACAATCGAATACCAGATGTGTTCCGAGATGTTACGGTTTTGTCTATTATGATGCAACATAATCTCCCTTGTCTCTCAGCATATATCTATGCGATATAGCGAATATATTATGTAGGTACACTGTATTATACTATACCTGTATGCTTAACGACCGAGGTTTAGTGCGACAGTGAAACTTCTGAGCATCTAAACTATGGCTGTTTATAATATAGATACGAATCGGCTTGATCTTCGCGACAGTTAACATTCAATTTCTTCTTTCTTTTTACCATCGCAACGTGATTATAGTTGTCGACGGGAGATTATGTAATTTAATAACATTAAAAATAATCTGCGCCGTCTTTATTATTATAATATTATCTCGTAGCAGTATATTAACTGAAACGGTATTTGAAGAGTTGAAACTGTGTCAAACATTCCAAGAGTCGAAAACATGGAATTCATGTTCGACAACAATTATTAATGCCACAATCTTTATAATATTTTTTCCAATCACTTCCGAGTGTACCTACATAGGAGATTATAAATTTTAGCTTGATTTCAGGGTTTGGTATACAGGCGTATTATAGACCTTAAAACTTGAAGTTAATGTTGTACAATATCTACGGTTCTAGATTTTATATTTTTGCTGAGATTTTTTGAATGTGATCATTTAATGAAAATTTTTCTATTGTTTTTCGTATACCTAGCCCTCTTAAATTACCACTAATAAATGAACGTTTGACACTTGCAACATTCACTAATCTTTTTTTTTAGCAGCAACAAAATAAGAACTATAAAAGTAAGACTTGGCCGGGTTATGAATGTAGGCTGTAGCGTATATTTGTACACAACGTCATTAACGTAATGGTTATTTTTTTGTAATTTTTTAAGAAAAAACACTTTTAACGTCTAACGATTGACACATTCACTTATCGTTTATACAAGTACAGCTCAATTAACGACCGTACAGTATAAAGACGCC